GGTCAAGGTCGTTGTTGGTTAGATACGAATCATGGCCATTTTCTTGAATCAAGAACGATTCATTCTTTAACGTCTGCATCATCGTCGTCTAATGAAATGGCGGGTGGAAATTTACTGGATTCTAGAGTTGAGACTAGGGATGTTAAATAATTCGTCTGGTCTAATTCTAGTTCAAAACTGACAGATTCAAGTTCAGACTAATTAGTTTTAGTAGTTCATGATGTCATTTGGATTAGTAGTATATAATGTTATCCAAACTAGTAGTTCAAAATGTTATTAGTAATATTTTATTATTATGTAATTTTGTAATATATTATTAGATCAGTTACGAACTACTAGGTTAGACCAGAACGCAGTGGTTTTTTCGGAGATTAGTACTGGACTACTTCTGAATCAGGTTCATAGAAGGGCTTAACATCTTAACATCGCTAGTTGAGACCAAAACCTTTTCTTAAACAATGACATTATTACATAATTTGGGTTGAGTTGAAAATCTAGATTTCTACTTCATTTAGAATAATATCCAAAACCCAAATATATGTTCACTTTTTTGATCAATAGTACAAATCAAACTCATAGTTCAAATTTATTAAATTAATGCTACATATAAATTACGTATTAAATTTTCATTTTCAAATTAAGAACAGTGTAATTTAGCAACCAAGCAGGGGTTGTTAAATAAATCAATGTTATATCTGACAATAAGTGAAAAATAATTATAAAAGCATCATAATGAACTTTTCGACCAAATTTTCTTCGAGATGTGCCTAACAGTTTTTAGAAAAGTAAAAACCATTAGTAAAAATCGATTCCTTATTGGTCCATTGGTTAATTGATAATAAATTACTCGTGACCATGATCTAAATAACAAGATCAAGGATTCATCCAATTGAAACTAAAAAAGTATTATCGTTATATAGCATTCTTAGTAAATTATCACAAAATCCAATTAATGCATTATAGAAAAATGAACGATTTTATAGCATTCAATTCAGCACAATATCGAAAGTTTTGCTGATAAGAACTCTTTCATTAAAGACACGAAAATAATCGAGAATTAGCAAAGAAAATAATTAGCAAAGAAAATAATACTTTCGATGCCCTTATTCGACGAAAAAACGTATCAGCTCTTTAACCGGTCACAAGATCTAACGAGAACCAATGTTATGAAGTTTTTTTTTTTTTACTAAACATCACTTCAATATTCATATATACATCACTTTTCTCTAATAATAATAATAATAATAAAGTAAAAATAAGGAATCTTTAAGTACAATAATAAGGAATCCTTTAAAAATAGTCAATCCTTGCACAGTAACTACGTAATAAAATACACCTTACTATATACTAAAGTAGTAACTTCCAGAATAAGTTCCAATCAATCAGCCATAATATAAATTAAAAGTGGCTGACAGTACGGCATGTTAGTGATATTTTTTTACCTGTTACGTACGTACGTACGTCGTTAAATTCTATTTTGTGCCCACGGCTTAATTTGAAGTCATCGAATGGAAATTTTCTCTGCAAATGAACTGAAGTAACAAATCATATACCACATAATTTTTTTTTTTTTTTTTGATTTGCAGCATTAACCTACATACGTACATACGTACGTACCATTTGTGCCAACATGAACATATATACAATATTATAGATAAATAACAATGGTTAATGGTCAAAAAATTGGAACGAATGAAATTTCGGGACGCTTCTGCTGCATGACACCACAATTCCATTTCACGTGCATTAACAAATCAAATGTTGTGCCTGAAGTTACATTAAGTAGTAATTCCAGCCAACTTCAGGCAAGCAACAACTCCATGCCAGAGATTTGGGACTTGGGCTTTGAATTAGGACAATTTTAATATCGATGTGTTTGGAATTGGAATTGGTTGATAAATATTATCAATTCATCATAATATTATAGACATCTAAATTACTCTTACTATATTTTCGGTTAACATAAATATTGGCGGAATTCCCTCTGAAATGTTTTGTTAACCAAGGCCAGGCACGACGAAATTTTATAAATGCCAACTCAACACGCCCGAGTTATTTGAGATAATTTAACCCGGATGACAATTTGACATTCGAGTCCAAATGTTACACAATGTCGCCTTTGTCTTATTCTTATTTGCTTCTATGTATTAATATGCATACGTAAACTTTATTGATCAATTACTCTTTGCTACGTACGTACGTATTAATCATGCAAACTGGCAATTAATATTATCGTTCGTTCATTTGAATATCATATGCAGGGACGACGATTTTCTGCGGTGTCCGTAATGGAGATTGTACCCGAGTAGAAATTGTTATTATATGGCTATAGTAAATTACCCGGATAACCGGATAATTTGATAATAGCCGGTAAAGACTCTCCAGGGTACAATCTCTAATCCGTGATAACTATAGATAAAGGATAAATTCTGCAAAATTCAACGATTTGGCTAGAATTATTTATAGTATACCG